ATAAAATCATAATTATATAATTAATTGTCACATGTGCATAATTATAGCTCACAACTTATTTATTGACCACATATTAAATAATTAATTGGTCACAGATTAATTCGATATCACAAATCAAAAATTTTATAGGTCACATTTTATTTTATTGGTCAAAAATAAAAAAAAATATAGGTCACAATTTATCAATAAGTCACATATTTTCAAATTTGTTAATCACAAATTATCGAATTTTAAGGTCGCAGTTTATTTTATTGGTCACAGATAAAAAATTATAGGTCACAATTTATCAATCAATCACGTATTCAAATTTGTTGGTCACAAATTATCGAATTTTAAGGTCACAATTAAACAGTTGGCCACATGTAACCACATAGTGGGTCACATACGACCACCACCTACACTGCGTCGCCAATGCCAATGTTAATGCCACTGCCACTGCCACAACACCACCAACACTACGACATCACTACCAACAAAATCGCGCTCCACCAGATCCAATCGACCGCTAACAAAAACCATGATAATCAACTCTATCAGATCTCCAACCACCACCCCATCACCGTCACCAGATCCAACACTAACCCCATAACCGTTGCCGCCACCCCCACTACTAATACCACAACATCGCCACCAACAAAACCGTCACCACCAGATCCAACAAAAAATAATCCTAAACCCGCCACTACCTCCATCGTCGTCGCAACCACCGGATCCACCATCATCCCCGTCGCCAAAAACAACAATGATATGACCACACCCAGTCATCACCGCCAGCTAAGCCACCACCCCACCAACAAAATTATCAAATCCACCATCACACAAACACCATCCCACATCCACACAAAATAACATCCAACGATCAAAAAAACAGAAAGAAAGAAAGAAATCAAGCAGAGCTGTGGGCAGCGACGTTCACAACGTCGCCATCTCAAAGTCATACTACCGTCGCTACCACGCAAACCATGGGCCACAGAAAATCTTCTAAGAAATGCCACAAATCAGAGAAGATTTTAGATCGCCGCCCCTGCACTTCCACACGTAGAGGCTCTAATCTCTTCGTTAGGCAGCGCGGTGCTACTTAAGTGGTAGCGACAGCGCAGTTTCCCCGACGGGTGCTATGACGAGGACGACGACGTCTGACAGAGAGGAAGGCATGAGAAGGNATTGACTCCGGCGATGGAGAGCAATGGCGAATCGAGTGACATCAGAGGAAGGCATGAGAAGAAGATGGGGAGGGAGAGTGAGAGTGAGAGTGAGAAGAAATAAATAAAATTAGGGTTTGTAATTGAATTTGGTGAAAACATTTCATATATAATTATTATGTAATACCCGATTTTTT